ATTGTACTCAAACAGCTGATTACATCTTCTCTTACACCTTAACAGATGCTTACACCTTTTAAGGGAAAACTTTAAACCTGAGAAGCAACAGTTTCTACATTTCCCTTGGGGATAGTGTACTCTTCTTTATTTTGCTTCTCTACAAACAGTTCAAAATTTTATAGTAATGTTGTCGGTCATACGACCAAGCAACCTTGCATGACATTACGTGTTCAAACCTCCCCCCCCATCCCCGCCCCAATAGATCAAGCCCTGAATGTAAGACCAGACAAGTAAATAATGCCAACATGTAAAACTAACTTGTAAGTACATTAATTTTGGAAGATTTTTTGGCCTTTTGTGGGGCTTAACTGTACTTGAGTGAGAAGAATGTATTCTAGTGTGAACTGAAATTATACCTCTATGCCACAATGTCTTTTTTTTTTGGGGGGGGGGGAGGGGGGTGTAGGGGGTTGTCATAATTCCTTGTGGACACCTGAAGGAGTTGCAAAATAATAAAATTTAAGTGAAGGAAAAGTTCCTTCTCTTAGTTGTTGTTGTTGTTGTTTTGTTTTCTTTTCTGCACAGTCTTAAATCAAAGGTCATGTTTTCTTGCCTTTGACAGTTTGTAAGCATGCCAGAACATTTCACATTAGGTAGATCATATTTGTCTGAAATGATAATATCGTACCTATAGTCTGCTGCAGGCTCAACAGTAGCCTATGCCTCAGGTACTGTTTTATGCCTTTGCTTTTGTTACTACATTCTTGTAAGTCTTCCAAAGGAAAACAAAATTATCCTATTCAGAAGAAACACCATCCAGAAGAAACTTAGACCTGTAGAAACTGTAGACTGCAATGAGGTCTCCCCTCAACCTCCTCTTTTCAAGGCTGAACTGGCCCAGTGACCTCAGCTGCTCCTCATACGTCTTCCCCTCTAGGCCCTTCACCATCTTCGTCACCCTCCTCTGGACACTCTCCAACAGTTTAATGTCCTTCTTGTACTGTGGTGCCCAGAACTGCACACAGCACTCGAGGTGAGGCAGCTCCAGTGCAGAATAGAGCAGGAAAATCACTTCCCTTGACCGACAAGCGATGCTGTGACTGATGCACAACAGGATACAGTTGGCCCTCCTGGCTGCCTCCACTGCTGGCTCACATTCAACTTGCTGTCAACCACGACCCCCAGGTCCCTCTCTGCAGGGCTGCTCTCCAGTGTCTCGTCGTCCAGCCTGTACGTAAAGCCAGGGTTGCCCCGTCCCAGGTACAGGACCCGGCACTTGCTCTTGTTAAACTTCATGTAGTTGGTGATTATCCAGATCTCTCTGCAAGGCCTTTCCACCCTCAACAGAGTCCACAACTCCTCCAAGTTTGGTGTCGTCAGCAAATTTGCTCAAAATACCTTCTAGTCCTACACCCAAATCGTTTACAAAAACATTGAAGAGGACTGGCCCTAAAATGGAGCCTTGGGGGCCCCCCCTGCTGACCATTCACCAGCCTGATGTGGCTGCATTTACCACAACCCTTTGAGCCCTGCCGGTCAGCCAATTGCTCACCCATTGTATGATATTTTTGTTTAGCTCTATGCTGGATATTTTGTCCCATAGGATCCTATGGGAAACTGTCTAAAGCTTTACTGAAATCCAAGAAGATAACATCATCTGGTTTCCCTTGATCAACTAGATTGGTGATCTTACCATAAAAGGAAATCAAATATGTTAAACAGGACCTACCCCTCATGAACCCACGTTGGCTGGGACCAATGACTTCATTGTTCCTAGGTGCACTTCAATCACTTCAAGGATTATCTTCTCCATAATTTTATCAGGCACTGATGTGAGATTGACAGACGTGTAATTGCCGGGGCCTTTTTTCTTGCCCTTCTTGAGCATTGGTACAGCATTTGCCAGCTTCCAGTCTACTGGGACCTCTCCAGATTCCCAAGACCATTGAAAAACAATTGAGAGAGGTCCCACGATGACATCATCCAGCTCTTTAAGCACCCTGGGATGAATCCCATCCAGAGCCATGGACTTGTATGGATCCAGGCGGAGCAGCAAATCCCGCACACGTTCAGGGTCGGTTAGGAGTTTGTCATTCCCACCGTCTTGGTCCTCCAGCTCAGGGCACCCTGGGTCCCAAAGCCCATCATCAGCATTGAAGATGGAGGCAAAGAAGGCATTAAATGTCTCTGCTTTGCTTATGTCCTTGTCTGTGAGGAGACCTTCCCCATTAAGTAGTGGACCTATGTTTTCCTTGGTCCTCCTTTTTCTGTTCACATATCTAAAAAACCCTTTTTATTGTCTCCCACAGACATGGCCAGCTTCAACTCTAGTTGGGCTTTCGCCACACGAATTTTCTACCTACAAACATGACCAGTGTCCCTGTATTCCTTCCACATAGCCTGACCCTCCTTCCAGCAGCCATACATTTTCTTTTTTCGCCTAAGCTCCAGTAGAAGATCCCTGGTCAGCCAGGCCGGTCTTCCGCCCCGCCTGCCTGCCTTCTGATATTTTAGAATTGCCTGATCTTGTGATTTTAGGAGGCAGTGCTTAAAGATTGACCAGCACTGATGGACGCTAATGCTTTCAAAAGCAGTTTTTCAGGGGACCTTGCTGAAGTTTTGGTGGCAGTTTTCCTTCTCTCACCAAAAATTTTAAACTCAACTACTTCATGGTCACTATGACCGAGACGGCCGCCAATTGGCCAGATTCCCCACAAGACCCTCTCTGTTCTCCAACAGATGTAGGAGGGCATCTTTCCTAGTTGGCTTCCTTAGCACCTGCACCAAGAAGTTGCAGGAAATTTTGGAACCTCCTGGACTTGCTTGGGTCAGCTGTATGGTAATCACAGTTGACATCTGGCAAGTTGAAGTCCCCCATAAGGACAAGGGGATTTGATCTCAAGGCATCTTTTAGTTCCGCAAAGAATAATTTATCAGTGTTGTCATCTTGGCCGGGTGGTCTGTAATAGACTCCCACAACAACATCCTCTTTATTTGTTCGTCCCTTAATCCTTACCCGGAGGCTCCCAACTTTTCCATCGCCAACTTGAAGTTCACACAGTCCAGCCCCTGCTTCACGTACATCGCCACCCCCCCCCCCACCTCGCCTACCCTGCCTGTCCCTTCTGAAGAGCCTGTAAACATCTATTGCAGCACACCAGGCACAGGACAAGGAACACAAACTAATTTGCGCCAGACTAATAGGTGGTTGGCTCTGAGCTTGGAGACTGCAACACCGAATCACAGAATCATCTAGGTTGGAAGAGACCTCCAAGATCACTGAGCCCAACCTCTGACCTAACACTAACTAGTGGTCCTCTGCTAAACCATAATCACTAAGCTCTACATCTAAACGTCTTTTAAAGACTTCCAGGGATGGTGACACAGCCACTTCCCTGGGCAGCCCATTCCAATGCCTAACAGCCCTTTCTGTAAAGAAGTTCTTCCTAATATCCAACCTAAAACTCCCCTGGTGCAACTTTAGCCCATTCCCCCTCGTTCTGTCACCAGGCACGTGGGAAAACAAACCAACCCCCACCTCACTACAGCCTCCTTTAAGGTACCTGTAGAATGCAATAAGGTAGCCCCTGAGCCTTCTCTTCTCCAGGCTGAACAATCCCATCTCCCTCAGCTGCTCTTCATAAGACTTGTTCTCCAGACCCCTCACCAGCTTTGTTGCCCTTCTCTGGACTCGTGCAAGCACCTCGATGTCCTTCTTGTAGCAAGGAGCCCAAAACTGAACACAGTACTTGAGGTGCGGCCTCACCAGAGCCGAGTACAGGGGGACAATTATTTCCCTAGTCCTGCTGGCCACACAGTTTCTTATGCAAGCCAGGATGCTGTTGGCCTTCTTGGCCACCTGAGCACACTGCTGGCTCAGTGTTGATACCACACCAATGTTTTAGTTGTTGCAGAGCAGTGCTTACACTAAGTCAAGGACTTTTCAGCTTTTCGCTCTGTCCTGCCAGAGGGCAGGCTGGGGGTGCAGTAGGAGCTGGGAGGGGACAGACCCAGGACAGGTGACCCAAACTGCCCAAAGGGTTATTCCATACCATATGACGTCATGCTAAACAATATACAGGGGTGGCTCACCAGGATGGGAGGGCTGTCTGCTCGGGGATAGGCTGGGCATTGGTCAGCAGGTGGTAAGCAATTGCATTGTGCATCACTTATTCCACACACATTAGTAGTAGCAGTACTATTATCATTATTATTACTTTTTTTTTCCTGTCTTAATAAACTGTCTCTGTCTCGCCCCACAGGCTTCATTTTCTTATTTCTCTCCCCCATCCCAGAGAGGGAGGGGGGAGGGTGAGCGAACGGCTGCATAGTGCTTAGCTGCTGGCTGGAGGAAATCACAACAATAGCAATGTAGTCATGTAACCAAATTAAGCCAAAACTTTCATCCCCTTCCTTGACCAGAACAGGGAGTTAGGGTCTGGATCCTGGTACTTCTACGTGATAGCTTATATGCAGCACAAGTAAATACTGCCGTCAGAGGTCATGGGGCTAGATTTTGAAAAGTCCTGCATAGAAAAGAGATCTCAGAAAAGCAAACTTAAATAACATTAATCTCAAGAAATGTCATTCTGATTGCTTTATTCTTTACCTGTCATGACTAGACAGATGAAAATCTATGAGAGCAATTTTGCCTTTAAGGTCATTTTTTTTTTTTACTTAAATTAATTAATTTATTTAATTATATATGTTTATTTATCTTATTTAAATGGGCTCTGTACAAATTTTCCTCTCAGAATGACTAACAGAAATAGGACCCTTGTGCACCTCTTGTAGTTAATTCATTAGGTCAACTGTAACCACTAAGCACCTTGTCAGGTTATTTCTCTTAGCAATAAGGAGCAATTGACCTGAAAACACTGAAGTCAGGTAGATGAGGCTATTCCACAAGGTCTCTTGGCTCCACCCTTGTTAAGTGAAATCTGCCAGCTGGGGATCATTTGACCTCTGCTATATAGGAAGCATGAGGAGGCATGAGAGGGATTGCTTCCACAGGGGAGTTTGATGCTTCAGTTATCTAGGGTTCTTTTCAAGTGTCATGGTGCAATGAACTCTGTGTTCACCAAGTAGGCGGCTTTTTATTCATATTATCTGCTGTCTCTGAAGAATAGTTTTAGAGATTCTGATGTTGCAGCATTGCTGGTGCCTTCTCAGTAGAGTAAAAGTCTCACGCTGCGTATTCACTGGGAAAAAGCTTAGAAGTGCATCAGGTTCAGGAGCTAAAAGGTACGTGTTCCTGAGTTCTAGAGCTCTTTCATGTTGGGAAGCGGCCTGGGCCCCCGTTCGTTCAGTTGCTGGGCTCCACATGATCCCCCCCAGATAGATCTGAATGTGAGACCAGACAAGCAAATAATTCTGGCATGTAAAACTAACTCATGAATACATCTCTTTGTCTCTTTTTGTTTTTTGTTTTGATGCTTTGTGGTGCTTAGCTGTACTTCAGTGAGAAGAATGTCTTCTGAACCTGAAGGAGTTGCAAAATAATAAAATTTAGGTGAAGGAAAAGTTCCTTCTCTTAATTTCTGCCGTTGTTGTTTTTCTTTTCCATCTGGTCGTAAAATGAAGGTCCCATTTTCTGGCTTTTGGCAGAGTGCAAGCTTGCTGAAATCGTTCACGTTATGTAGACTGTGTTTGTGTGAAATGATAATATCATACCTATAGTCTGCTGCAGGCTCAAAAGCAGCCTATGCCTCCTGGACTGTTTTATGCCTTTGCTTTTGTTACTATGCCCTTGTAAGTCTTCAGCAGGGAAATGAAATTACCCTATACAGAAGAAACACCGTCCAGAAGAAACTTCAGGTGCTAGGGCCTGAATTTTCACTGAAACCAAAGGCAGGTATCTTACTGATGTGAAGAAAGGGGCTTTAATCTATCCTGGTTTGTTTACTAATGAAGGAGCGTGAAAGAGATGCATGTCCTTGTCTCTGAAGAGGTGAAGGAACAGCTAGTGCAAGGAACATAAAATTCAGTTATGCTGAACTAACAGGTGCTTGGAGACGGCAACACAGAATCACCTAGGTTGGAAGAGACCTCCAAGATCACGTAGTCCAACCTCTGACATACCACTAACAAGTCCTCCACTAAGCTGTATCCCTAAGCTCCACACCTAAACATCTTTTAAAGACCTCCAGGGATGGCGGACTGAGTGAGGCGTGGGCGGACTGAGGCGCAGAGAAAGACCTGGAAAGACCATGAGGAACCCACACTGGAAGAGTTGGTTAAAGAACCCTGGCATCAGGAAGAAAGTTTCTCCTCTTCCCTACAGACCTGCATCTTGGCTGTGGAGAAACCTCATGAAGAGGTCCATCAAGTTAAAGAGAATTTATCTTCCTCCCCACCTATACAAATGAGTGTCTCAGCTATCAGGGGTTACCGTCCTTCTTTGCAAGGAAAATGACAGAGTGGGAGCAAACTCTGTGCCACCCTGTGGTTTTACTTACTTGACCAGCCCCCAGATCTACCTGCAGCAGATGAGTTGGCTGAACAACTTTGACAGTACTAATAATGTCTCTCCTCTTCCCTAGAGGCCTGCTTCTCAGCTGTGGAGAAACTTTTGGAGAAACTTGCTGCTCCAACTTCCAGTGGGCAGTCCTCTGTCTCAGATCTGTCCCAGTTCATCATCTAACATGTACTTAAACTGCCCTGTAAGTGTAACATATTAGCAATGTGCAGTAGATTTCTGTGTTTTTATGCATTTAATACTTGAATCCATGCTGTCTGTGTAACAGTCGCCACAGAGATGTCAGTTTTTCCTGACCCTGAAACTATATGCCAAGGGCAGTACATGAGCATCAGTGTAAGACTGGAAAATTTAGGAAGAACAGAGTTTAGTGATCACTATCGAGGCTGCTAGTTCTCTTTCTTCTACGAAGAAATGTCCATGCTATCATCAGCAGTAAGTTCAGGTGCACCTTTCAGGCTAGTAAGTGTGTTTTAGTGTGTCACAGAACTGACATTTCTCTGGCCACTATGCACCATGTATATCACAACACTGTTTAAACCTTCAGAGAAAGGGTTCAGTGGGTGTAGGATGGAAGACAAGGTCCAGGAAAAGCACTCTAGCACTAGATGACATGGAGGTGTTTATTTAGGGTGGTACACAGAGTGGTAGGAGAGCAGAGATGACTATCACTACAGAAGTGCATAACAGCACTGAGAACTAATCCTTTTTACATCCTCTGGCTTTGCACACATTTAAAACTGCACTACTGATTTAGTAAAATAATATTGCACATCAGTTTTAATCTTGAAACAGAAGACTCTTGAAACAAATTTGCTTCCTTGACAGACCACGGGAACTTGTGAGGTTTCCACAGCTTTCTCTTCCTTTTTGCTCATATTGAGCTTCCCCAGCCTTTCATAGGAATTACCTGAACCCTTTTAGATTACATCCACTGATGGAACACAGCTGCCTGGGAGAGTGCCTACTGTCTCCCTAAGGTGCAGCCCTGACACAAAACAGTTGCTGAAGATTATTGTAGCAAAACGGTATTGTCTTTTAGGGCATTAGCTGTGACATATTTTATCTGATCAGCCTTCATAAATCATGCCCAAATCAGCTGCTAGGTAAAAGACTGTGTCTCTGGATTCTTCTGCCCAGAGGTTTCTCCTTTTTACTACTGTTCTCTTCATTTCCTGCTCTGGGGAAATGAGTGACATTATGGATAATGAATATACTGACTGAAACTTCTGTTAGCCATTAAGTCATATTAAATGTACTCCCTCTGTGTGGGTGGAGGAAGCTGGGTCTTGTTAGAGGTTCAGAATGAAAGATCAATGTATTAATTAATGTATTAGAAAATGACAACCAGAATCTCTGGATCTGACTTAAGGCTGTATTATAGCTGTAATATCTTATACAACTATTTTTCTAGATGTAGTCAGAATTCATTCCATTAGAAGAGTCTTCATACTCACATGTTAGAATAGATCTAATTTCTGTTAGGTTTGACATTAATAGCTTATATTTATCCTCAGAAAAGATAACATATCTGTTTATCTCTGTATATCACTAACAAAATGATAGTCACATCAGTGTAAAAATGAAGGTGAGAGCCAGGAAGAATTATTTTCCATGTTCTTGTAGTAGGGTAGCCAAAATACTGAAAAACTGAAGTATTCTATTTATGGTGACTGCCTTTGTTTAGGAAAGGCTCATTATCTTTACTCTGTGGCACTCTAAATCTTGGTGAGTAAACAGGTGAGGAAATTTTGCAGCTCTTGGTTCCATTGCTTTATTGCTTTTTTGTTATTGTCCAAAAAATCCAACAAAATGTTTTTGCTGTGGTGGTGGTTTTTTGTTTGTTTGGCTTGGGTTTCTTTTTTTTTTTTATTACTAATTTTTAAAACATTAGAAAGTCATATTCATGAAGACATACTTCTTGAAAGGTCACACTTTCTCACAGAAAGATGTTGTGTGTATTGAAAATTAGTTCAGGGTTTGGGATTCATTAAGAGATTATACAGGCAGCAAGGACATAAGGAGTTACATGGCTGTCAAAAACTACTGTATTTAGAGTCTGATGTAGCTAAACTGCAATGTCAGATAATTATCAAGGTTGTAACAAGACTTTCATGAATAAGGGCTACCCCACTTATCTGTAAAGATTTGCACTGTGTTGTGGAAGTGTTGGCATCTTTCACTGAAATATTTGGAGGTGGGTAAAAAATATAAATTAAAAGTTCTGGTGTCTGATACAACACATGCCTAGGTGTTTATTTTTCTTATATTTATTGTATATCTCGTCACTTCAAGGGTTCAAATTTCAGCTGCCAGCTAAAGGAACAAGATGCAGTATTAGAAGCTAGCTAGAAGCTTTGCTGTGTTCAGCCATTTTTTCATTCAGCTATTTTTTTTTTTTTAGAGTACCTCTGACTTTGCTTCCTCTTTCCCAAGCTTTCTGTTTTCAGTGTTGTTAAACACTATTTTCATTCATGAGATTTAACTTTTTGGTTGTACAATCAATAATTGGAGTCTACAGAATATGGTAAATACAACTGCCTTTCACTTCTTTCCTGTTGCTTGCATATTTCATTTCTTGCCTTTATTTCATCTCTTTAGATTATAAGCTTTTTCAAGCAAAAGTATCTTTTCATATGGTTCACTTGGTTCATTTTCTCTGGAATTTATTTAGTTCTCCTTAATTGTATTTTAATTGGTAATCCCAAGACAAGAATCCTTTATCACTTTTACAAACAATTTAAAACTACAGGTAAAATACTTAACTATTTTTAAGACTTTTTTTTCCCTATGCATTTTTTCTTCAACTCTGAGCATAACTGCTGCTCAGACTGCTACTTAAATTCTGAAATTATTGACAGTTTGTTGCCACTTTCCAGATGTTGCTAAAATTCAATCTAATATTTAATGATTCTCATTAGAAATGAAAAATTCTTATATCCATTAATTTAAATGTACTTTGGCAAGAGCTGCTTATGACACAGTTATTAATATTCTGCTCTCATATTGCTCATCTCTGAGTGACTGAGACTACCAGCAAGTATTTTGGGAAGCATATAATTAATGAGAACCAGGAGTATGCTTGGCTAACTGAAAAAACATTAGAGGAAGAATTAAATGTCCTCTGCTGAGTAATGTTATTTTATCTAAGGAAAGAACAGCTGATGTGCCTGGATGATATTCGCCTTAGCATCATTTAATTCTATGAACTCAGAAGAGATTTTGCGTTTCCTGTTAGAAGCAGGAAGGGCAGAACATCTAGTGCTATGGTGCTTCACTTGGGATCCTTTGTTTACCTGCTGTCCATTACAGTTACTGTTTTCTCCTTTCCACTTCAACATTTCAGCGTATCACAAGCAAGCAAGGTCTAGGAAGTGGACAGGAATAAACTTAGGGGTCTAAATTGTTGTGGATACATTTCAGATGGGAGTTTCAAACTCACCTATTTTCTGTATTGAATTTGAGTCTAGAGTCTCAGAAAATACATTGCCATCCTTCTGAGCAGCTGAAGTTCTCCTGACACTTCCTCAGTATTTCCTTCCTTCTGGTTTTCAGGGTGCTGCAGGGACCAGAGGCATGGGGGGTTCCCAACGGGGGTCCATCAGAGCCAGGCCTAGCAGCAAGGGCCAATCACACTGCTGGAGCTGGGCCACCACAGCAGACCCAGACACAGGCACCTCCCTGGGGATGGAGATGAGCTGAGGACATATCTGCCAGCAAGAGGGCCTGGCTTTGTGGGGCCCATGGCCAGGCAGGGCAGGGAATAATGGCCACAGAGCTGAAATGGGGTCCTAGGCCATGGAGGACAGGCAAGATTGACACCAGGCCTCATAACATTGGGCCATGACATTAAAACAAATTAGTAATTTAAACTTCTTTCCTGACATCTTCTGGCCGCCAGACCCTAACCACCCACATTTCCCCCCTCCCTATGCACAAACAAATTAGCTAAAATATAACAATCTAAAAAACAATTCTGATAACAATCTTAAGAGGTAGACATCATAACTTAAATAAAATACATAAGGCACAATAACCAGGAGAAAACTAGGAGGTAACTGGTAACCCTGAGTAAATACACTCTTAAAGTATTCGTTGGTGTTCTACCAACATAATGTAAACTTTCTCTAACCGACTTTTAACAAACGACACAAGCTTATTTAGTATACAAGGTCCAAAGATAAGATCACACAAAGGCATTGCAGCCCCCCACCCATGGAGGCTGCTTTGCTGTTGTCTGGATTCTGCCAGTATGGAACTCTCAGGCTTAGACAGGACACTTGCCAACTTATTGGCTTCTTTTGTCACTGGGGTATACGGATTACGGGGGTGTCTGATGATTCGTTCCTGTGAACAGAAACTCACAGTTTTCATTAGTTTTATTCTGAAGGTCTGGTTTGATGGACTTAAGCGGACACCATTTGACCCTGCCATCTTTTTTGACTGCAGCATACCCTTGCCCTGTCAGAACTAATTTCCACCCTTGTTCCCATCCTCCCAGCTCATTTCTAACTGTAACTGATGGGCCTTCTAGCGCTCGAGTGGCCCAATGTTTTTGGACAGGTCTATTCACCCTCTCTCCCCTGGGGAATTGATTTAGCGCTAACAAAGCGGTCACTAGCAAGCGTGCTTGGTCTCCTGAGGGAACAGTGGTGGTAAAACCTTCTGTTTTTGCTAATACCTCCAACTTAAATTTCAGAGTTTGATTTGCTCGTTTGACTATGGCTTGTCCTGTACTATTATACAGGATGCCGTATATTACTTCCTGATGGCGCAGCAATCAGGATATCGTCCATGTATTGGATGATAGTCGCGGTCGGGTCACTGCACTGAACTGGCGCCAGCGCCCAATCCACCGTGATCGGGCAGATAGTAGGCGAGTTGATCATTCCTTGAGGCAGCACTTTCCACTGGAAGCATAAATTTGGGCATTGGCTGTTTGGAAACACAACAGAGAAAGCAAACCACTCCTTGTCTTCTTCATGTAGAGGTATCGAGAAAAAACAGTCCTTAATATCAAGGACGGCACAAGGTTGCCCTTCCGGTATCATAGAGTTCATAGGCAACAACGTTTGGACAGGACCCATTGGTTGAATTATCTTGTTTACTTCATGCAGGTCATGGAGGAGGCGAAATCCTTCACTGGTTTGCTTGGGTATTACAAAAACTGGAGTGTTCCATGGGCTAGTAGAAGGCTCTATATGACCTCATTGTAGTTCACGGTTAACTAGTTCGAGAAGAACACCCATTTGAGGCTTCGACAGGGACCACTGCTCAACCCACATTCGGTCAGACGATTTCCACTTCAGTCTAATCGGTGGAAGTGGGTATGCGGCAGTGGCCCTTACGGTAAATTTGCCACCCTGGCTTTTAATAGGGCTAAAGCGTCCCTTCCCAACAGGGGAGGGACTCCTGACATGACATATGGGAAGAGAGTAATGGTTTTCTCTGGTCCCTTTTCAGTGTGGAGCATGATTGCAACCAACTGAGCGCTCTTCCGAGCTTGGGTTAATCTCCCAGCTCCACCCACCATGGGGGCATCTTCCAATTTCCAACTTGGAGGCCAGCTTATCTCAGGGATAACTGTGATACTGGAGCAGACGTTAATCAGAAAGGAGACACTAATGGTGATGTCATTTAAGGTATAAAGGGAACAGATCCCCCACACCACTGGCAGGTTATCACACTTTATTGCCAGGGCCACCCTGGGGTCTCGCCCCCAGAGGGTGGTCCTTGCTGTCCCTAAGATAAGGACAGGTTTGGCTGGACCGTCAGTTGAGCCATAAAAGTGGTCGCCTCTTGAGGGTGCAGTGGGTTTGGGGGCACCACACCCCATCCGGGGTTGGCATAGTTGGACCGCCTCATGTCCCAAGTGGGAGAGGGCTGTGCGCGGCCCAATTGCCCTCTCCCCCTCCTGTTTCCCTGGGTTTTATATCTGTATTCCTTGGCGAAGTGCCCTTTCTTTCCACAGGCCCAACATGGTCCTCTGGGTCGGTTTTGGCATGGGGGGAGCGCTGTTGGCGGACCCCCCAACTGAGGGCAATTTGCCGTGATGCGGCATGCCTGGCCACATTTAAAACATGCCATCACATTAGCTATTGCGGTGTGAACAGCTACCTGGATCGGGGTTAGGTGCTCTTCTTTCACGACATGTTTAATCATGTCCGCGATGCTAGACCCTGCTGGCAGTGATGGCAAGATTTCTTTGGTTGCTGAATTACACGGCTGGCATAGGCATTCTGCTATGACTGGGCCTTTTGCCTCCACGGGCAGTGACGAAGAGTCGACCGCTGCCTGGAGACGATCTACAAATTGTGTAAAGCTCTCACTTTCACTTTGTTTTATTGTTGACCATGGCGATGGTTTGGCAATAACTCTAGAGGCTGTACGAATAGCTTCTCTGGCCACACGAGTAGTTGCCATAACTTCATAGGCCCGCAGGCCCTGGGCTTGCGCCTGGGGGGTGATCATTGTTGGGTCCGTACCCATTAGCCGCTGCAGGCTAGAGCCATATAGTGGATGATCTGCCCCAGCTACTCTGGCCAGTTGTCTTGTACAGTTGTCCTCCTATTCTTGTTTAAAAACGATCATCCTCACCCCATCAAAGATCAGTTTACAAGTTTGTTTTATATCAAACGGGAGCATATCGTCTCCCCCGAAAACACCATCTATGAGGGTGGAGACCATTGCAGAATTAAGCCCTTTATCCGTGATGGCTTTAACAATCGCTTGTACATCCTTAGGGTTTATTGGTGAGTGGACCCTCTGTCCCCCATCCATCACCCAGACTGGGAACGCTGCCGTGGACGATGGAACCCAGTCGGCGCATGCAATCTCAATTTTCCTCCAATCCGTGAGAGAAATTTCTCCCCCTCGCGGTTCTGCTTTATTTCGGATGGGGATATTTTTGCTTTTGACTCTATCTGTCCCCATTTCCTCCTCCTCCTCCGAATTTAATCAGTATCTGATCCGCAGTCAGAGCTCGACTGACTGGTCACCTCCGAGTTCCAGTACCCTCCCGTCGAGTTCCAGCCCTGCCCACCAGCCTTGCGGGCGGGCTGTTCTCTCCCCCGTGGCTCGCCCTGCTGCCTTCTCGGCGAGGCGTTTGCCCCACAAGAGCATTTTTTTGGATGGCCGTTTCGATCGGCTCTCTGCCCCTCTCTCGCGCTTCTACCTCCTCCCTGGTCGCCCCCACAGCTGTTCTCTTTCTCGTTCTCCTCCTCCCATTTGCACGTGTTAG